TGACAGGAGTCCAAACTGTAGTAGCTATGAACACAATTTGCGCCCTCGCGTGCGGAACGGAGTTCCGGGCGGTCTACAGTAATGTATGTACATTGTTTTTGCAGAAAGAGTGGGTAGTCGATCAGCACAACATGTTTGTGAAGTCGTGGGTTGCTTTGAACATTGTAGGCAGGCCAGATTTTGATGGCACACTTGTGGCGGTTATGGAAAGCCCACAATAGGCTCCCGAATCGTAAATGGTGTTGATATTAAATCTATTGGAACTAATTTTGTCAAAGTGTAATAAGAGGTAATTGTTTAGTCTCGTTTTATTTTTGCAACTCGGAGTACACTATGTATGTATCGTTCGTTGTCCAACAATATGTCCATGGAATTGATGTTGACGCCACAATGGACGGCCTTACACCATCTGTATTCCACGCGTCGATGGTGAAAATGTTCTTGAATGACCCAGGAAGAGGGCTGTGGGCAAGGACACCGTGACCATTATGAATTACTTGGACGTAACCATACGCAGTTTGATGTTTCCCAGCAATTGGTATTTTTGTTTTTGGCATTGTTTGGAAACTGATTTGGATTATGTGTCAAATGGGACGTTAGTTTTGGTAATTTGGTTGAGTTAGTGGTGTGTTAATTCTGTGAGGTGGAGTATGGATACTTGAATATTTGCGCAGATTTAAAATTTATAATAAAATATTAGTTCGGGGTTATGGACATATGCAAATTTGTATACTATGTTTTGCCACCATCTACTAATTATGGTTTGATTTTGTGTTGAATGTCCAAGGTTAGTATTATGTGTGTAGTTGATTGGTTTGAATGCACATGATGTGTGCACCGTACTGTATGTGTTAAACTTCATTTGGAAGGAACAGCAGGCATGTTTAACCTTCGCGACCGCATTGGATGCCGCTGTTTTAGTATTATTAACGTAATTGTAAAGTAACCTGTTTTTCCTGAATGTAAATAGAATTTTGGGAAAGTACCCAGGTACCTTTTGTGCCTTGACTGTTTCTAATGCGGATTGACAACAGGAAAACATATATAGCTCTGGGTGCACAACCCAATTTATATGCCGTTGACAAAGAAATATGAATATTATGATTGCCATTGCTGCTGCGGTTGATTTTTTTGCAAATTACATGGCCTAACTGTCTATTTCCAAAAATACTAATTGCAATTCACTGAGGCCTCTGGAAAGTTAATGTTGCATAGTTTTCTTAAAACACACGTTTGTTCATACACAGGATTTTGTGGATCATGGTATGCAGGTGGTATGTTGACATAAATTAGATGTGCAACAGGCTAAGACAATCAGCGAGCTTAACCCAGCAATGTGGTTATGTTACATTGCTATAACAGGCTATGATACAAAATGTAAAGCTTGTGCGAAAATTATATACTACCAAATCGGAATCGAAAAACGCATACACAACATGCAAACGTAGAAACACTACTCTACCATAATGGTTCTCAATAAGGAATGTTACAAATGAGCAATGCAACTGTGGGTTTTAAATTTGAATATAATATAAATATTTAATGCGCAAAATTAACGTGCGGTAATACAACGTTAATAAGTTCATAACATAATCTAAGAACTAATACAAGACCTGCATAATTAACAAGTGTTCGACAAAAAATGAAATGTGACATGGCTAAATCGGTTTTTTGCATGTCTTCCTATTATGGTTACCCATCTTGCCACAACAACTACACTAAATGCGTTGCACCACCTCCCCCCTTGATGGAATCCTCTTCCGCTTCGGCCCTCCGAGCGGGTGCTTAACAGTGGGAGGTGCAATTACATAATCGATAGGCATGAATGTTGGTTTCTCAACTGTTGGGATAGGGATAATCAAGTCCAAGTACGATTCCATAAACTCCTTCACATGGTAATACGGCTCAATTGAATCATATATGTTCCTCCCACTATTACGAAATGCAACCACTACGTGTGAACACGGAAACCCATTCACCTGCCATTGACAACATGAGCATGTACGCCTACTAACATTAACCTACTGATGGGTGCAAATGCACCTCGTACACATGCTCACCAGATTAACTTACTATCCACACTCTGCTAGTTTTGTAAGCAGCCTCCAATTCTTTTTCTATCTTCGGACTGATCTCGCCAGTCCACCCACTACATTTCATCCTATGCGTTGACCTTTGCTCCATGAGTTTACCCCTAATTGCATCAACCAACTACCTAATAGGAAGATGACGCGCTTCTTGAATCCAATTATTGAATGACTCACCAACATTCGACCACATCTCACCATACCGATGACCCCAGCGACACACACATCGCAACGCATGTTGGCATCATGCTGGAAAACAACAAACAAAGACTATGTGAAACAAATACCGAAGCTAAATTTGTAAGTCATATAATTTAAAAAAAAAAGACCCAGAACCTATAAATATCGAAAATACCCATTAGCTTAATGTTTTGGGTGCAAATCTTTCAAAAACTCCCCAACAACATACGAGCTACACATTTTCAGCACTTCAATTTTCTAATTATATGTTGTGACCGTAGGTGCATATACACATTCACGTAATTTGTGCATGAATCCAATTTTTTGCTCGGCGTTGACATATTTCACCTGGTGTCTTAGATTCATTTGGAGATGTAATAAACAAAAGGCATGATGTGCTGTCAGGAAAACGTGTGGCATGGCTTGTAACAATCCAACATGTCGATCTGATACAAACGTCAATGTTTGAGCATGATCAACAACCTCAGACAACTGGCGCCAAAACCACTCCCAGTTCGTTGTGTTCTCAGCATCGACAATTGCAAACGCAACGGGAAACAACCCTGATGGAATTCACATAAAACATAAAAGAAAGAACATCAAACACACACAAACCCACTTGGCTCCCAGACCAAAACACAAACCATTACACACATTATGCATCTTTGAGTTGGAAAATTTTTTGCAGAGATAAAATGTTCCCATATGAACACAACACCCATTACCTTGGTTCCCACCCTTAGCAGTAGCTGCAAGAAAATTACCCTTGAACCATCCCTTTAGAAACGTACCATCCAAAAACAACAGTGGCTGACAATGCTTAAACCCATTTATGCATGCACGGAATGATATGAAACATGTAACAAACTTTTCGGTTTCCTATTGGAATTCAAGATTTATATAGCTATTTGGGTTGATTTCTATCACCGCATCACTATACCACCTAAGTTGGTCGAACAACATGGTATGATCTCCATATACTTCACCCCTCGCTTTCTCAAGACCAAGCCAAGCAACCTAGTAGCTGACATCCAAACCGTAGTCATTTTTCAAATCAAAAACAACATCAATTGGGCGTGTCAAAGGTTGAGCGTGAACCCGATCCGCAACAATGTCAGCCACTAAATCGAACCCAGTACGTAGATTCCTGGACATCTGTACAGCAACACCACACATATGCAAACTATTAAACCTCTTCAAATAAAAAATGCCATTTGATGCTGACACCCTCGCATGTACTAACCTATTGGGATCCACATTCAACGACGTATTTTAAAAGCGCCGTCGGAAATTCGTTCGCGCCGCGCATGAAAAACTCTCCCACATTCGTAACACCATATGCCTAACATGACGACAAATATGACTTCGACCTATGCGGGCAGTATAACGGTAATAGATCCGTCCGGTCGTCCATATTGAACATCCTGTCACCAACGGAGCACGGTTACCCTCGCCATCACTCGAACAACCACTCCCACTGCTACCACTACTAGTCATACCATCACGCTTCTGAATAAGAACATCAATATGATAGAGTCTGAAAGATTTAGCAAGCGACAACATGTTCTAAACATCCTCATCGCATCCAACCTTGAACTTATTATAACCGGCTATAGCAAACAATAAAAACACCTACTCAGGAACCAACCCATCAAACTTCTTGCATATTTCATCAACCAATTGCGCGAATGTCAACACTTGATGTAGTCGAACAACAACATTCGTCTGCCTGTACGTACACAACAACAAAATAATAGCCTCTATACCTGCAAAAACAACAAAAAAAACTTAATATCCTCCCTACCCACATTACCAAAGTGAAATCATCCCCTCCCAAAAAAAAAAACTTAATAACCCCTCCACCTCCATTACCAAGTAAAACCCCTTCTCTGCAATCGTTTTCTCTTCCTCCGAAGAAGAACTCCCAATCGATGGCGAACAAGACTTGTTACACTGATACACGCACGCGCGCACACACACACACACACACACACACACACACACAAAAAAAAAACACTCCAAAAGAAAATCTTGAAAATACCTTGACAGGAAACCGCTCAACGTAACACCGACACCGAAATATCAACGCTACCCAACAACCTCCCAGTAACGCAAAAATGATTCCACAAGTTACACAAAACCACCAACAACAAATGGAAATGTTAAACAATTCCACATAATTATACACAATTCATAATACCAAATGGAAATGTTAAAAAGTTACCTTTCACATTGATACCCAAGCATCAGGTAAAAGAATCCCCCCAAATTTGCCCACAAGGGTAAAAATGTAAACCTCATCCATACCAAATCAGAGGAAAATATTACCAACACAACCACATTACCACCACCAACACATCACCATCACCATAGCCACCGCCACCATCACCCTCATCGTCACCCCACCACCATGCCACCACCTCCACCTCCACCTCCACCTTCCTTCCATCACCACCACCACCAAACATTTCTGGAAAAAATAAAAAAATAAAAAAATCATAGAAAGTGTTTTCCATTAAAAAATATTTTTCGTTCAAACAAACGAAGTGTTAGATAAAAACATGGACAACCAAAAAAGACTCGAGATAATTTATTACAACTTTGTGGAATATAAAAGGTTTTGTTTTGTTTTTTTTTTTTTTTTTCTTTCTTTTTCCCTCATTGCTGCTCTAAAATCAGCAAAATGATCAATTATAGATTATCTTTCCTGATGGCATTTCACCTCACAGATTTTGGCACGACTAGGCAGTTCCATAGTATCATGGTGTTCAGATGCTACACATTTCATAGCTGATGGATTTTTGCGGACAAGGAACATGTTGGAAGCCATTGCTCTTGGTAAACCAGTGGTGACACATTTATGGCTTGATAGTTGTGGACAAGCTAGCTGTTTTATTGATGAGAAGAATTACATCCTGAGGGATGCTAAAAAGGAAAAAGAAATTGGCTTTAGCATGCCAGTTTCATTGGCTCGTGCAAGACAACATCCACTTCTAAAAGTAATATTACAAGATTGTATGTTTAAACTAAAACATCTGTCTGCTGATTCAGTATGCATTATCTGTTTGCTGCTCCACTGCAGGATCGAAGAGTCTTCATTACCCCAAACACAAAACCTAGTAAAGAGTTGGTTACAAGCATGGTTGAAGCAGTGCAAGGTCGGGTATGTAATTTTTCCAATGTCTTTCATTCCATGGATGGAAGTTTGTTCAACCTCTTTTTATTACCTTCTGTTAATCTGTAAATACGGGTTTGTAATGGTATATGGTTGAGTAATAGATATCGATTTTGCAAATTTATGGACTATGTGATAGTAATAGATTTTTACACGAGAAACACTCAAAAGTTGTCAAAGGGAACTTTAAAATAAGTGTACCACTATACTAGCTGGGTATTAAAATTAAAATTTTCCTATCTTACTTTAGTTTCGCACTCTGTCGATAAGTTACATTTCATTTTTAAAGTTGTTCAAAAGTGATGATGTTTTGAAATTGTGAGTTTCTGATGCTCTCAGATAGTTGATATAATTCAGAAACCTGAAATGAAGAATGAAACAATCCCAGATGATCTATTAATCCTTTCTTGCGAACAGGACTATGCAGTATGCACGCCATTCCTTGATAAAGGTACAGATTCATCCACCATTTTATCCTTTCTTTGAGATAATTCTTGATTGCAACTAAGTTGGATTTGCTTGTATTATTGCAGGAGCAGCAATTTACAGTTCAGAGCTTCTTCTTAATGGGATAATTACGCAGAAACTAGAGTTTGAGAGGTCAGCATGGCAAAAAAACCATAGTATTTTCTATCGTTCTTGTTTTATCCTTATAGACAGGAATATAGGTAGAAAACCATATGATTTTATATGCCTATATGCATGAGAAATAAGGTGCAAAGTTTTGCTTATGACCTAGTTTTAGTGCTAATAATTAAATGGGTAAAGTTATGTGTAATCATAATTAGCTAATGCCCATCTGAAGTACCTAAAACTGTGAAACTACTTTTGAAATGCTAAAAATAATGCTTAGTTTTTGTTGCGTTTCTATGAGTCAACTCTTCTGAAGCACTATCGTGCCCATTCCAATTGGGAACATATTTTTCCTTTGGCTCTCATCCTATTCTTCAGATAGTTGGCTTAGCTGATTATTATAACCATTCAGTTCATATACTGTTGAACCTTCTCTTCACTTGGTAGTGGTTCAACAAATCCTATAGATCGATTGCTGTTAAAAAAGAAAGAAAATGGCAAAATATACATTCAAATCTTATGAACTCAATTCAAGATACATGGTTCCAATTTTCCATTGAGCAGTATTACCAAATCCAACACTTAAAGGTGAGTTGGACCCAACAAAATTAATCAGATCTCTTTTTTCTTGAAAATTTGACTGGTGTTAACTGCCCGGTTTCCTTATACAAGTTTGCGGTTTCCAATAACAGGCACCGGCTTTTCAAAAAAACATTTCAAGAGTAACTGCCCTCGTGCCGCGAACACCCCTACTTAATCCTACGTCACAACTCCTCATACCATCCACCATCAACCGTCTCCCCCCCACCACCTCATCACCTATTACCACCTTCAACCATCTCATCGCCACTTAGCCATTCATCAGAAGAAAAAAAAATATTATATGTATGAACACACACGCGCTCTCTCTCTCTCTCTCATATACATCTATATTATTATATATGTGAGCACTAATGTGGTTCCTTATCCTTCTATCACGTTGCAAATTTTCCTATCCTAAAATAAAAAAAATATTATTCAAATGCGTGAGTAAGATCTGAATCCAAGACCTTCAGTTTTATTAAGAACATTCTTACCATTTAGATAACATACATATTATGATATTAATTTCTTTATTATTTATTTTTATGCTTACTTATCTTAATTGTACATGCATTGTGTGTGCCACCCACTAGTATATATATATACACACCAACTATATTTTATGTGCTTTTTTCAAATTAGAAGTTAGAACCTAGAAATGTCTTGCAATTGATGCCACTGGGATAAACTAGATTAGCTATTGTTGATGTTTTTACTAATGAGAAGTTTGATCCAAAATTATCCAAACTCGATAGCAAAATGGTTTTGTTTGGATCACAATTAAGGATACAAATCCTTCCCCTGCACCCTCTCTATTTTTCTTTTCCCACTGAATTTCTAAATCACCGGTTGATATCTATATCAAAATGAGGAATTCTCAGTGGGGTTTCTCCTTCGGGTTACTGCCGTCTTTCGGGAAAGAAGAAATCTCAATTTGGGTCTGCAAATTATGGCCTATAAAACTCAAACATTCCTAGCGGGAAAGAATCTTTGTTTGGGTTTTCATTGGGTCTCTCTTTTCAATGAAATGGAGTTTTTGGGGAATTATATTTGAGTGCCTGAATCTGAGGACAACCCATATATTCTTGAATTGCTTTATTAAGAGTTGTTGTGATGTTCTAAGGTTCTTTGTTGCGAGATAGAAAAATGGGTTTTGTGCCATTTTATTTCTTTTTACAGAAGAGATAATGGAGAAGACATGGGGGTATTAGTGTCATTTTACATTTTGCAGTTTAGTCCCAAACTCTATGGGGGACTATCTACCTAAATTTAAATGACAAGGGAGTAAAGTACTTTAAGTTAAACCATAAGGGGTATAAAATGAATTTTATCTTATTTTTAATAAAGATATAAAATAATGTTTGGGAGCTCTAAAAAAACTTTAATGGTGTGGGCCCCACAATAATAGTGATGTTTGTGTCTTCTTTCTTTTTATTTTTTATTTTTTCATTGCCAAGGGTATAAAGCTCTATTTTTAGGGAAATGTATCACTACTGAAAGATATAATATCAAAAATGCTTGGAACCCCCAAAGTTGGGGGCCCTCATGACCCCTAAAATAATGTAGACCAATCATGTATTTTTGTTTTTTTTTTTCCTTTTTTCTTCTTTCCTTCTTGGACCAATCATAGGTGGGTGAGGGTTATAGAGTAATATTTTTTGGGGGGTCTATAACATTGTTGATATAATATTTGTAAAAAAAAATTTAACATGGTACTAACTCTATACTTACTAATACGAAAATAGTAGCAATAATCTGTATTGAATATCATAACTTTTAAAATTTTCAACCTGCAATGGCACTAAGTTACATCACATAGTCTCAACCAATTATCAATACACACTCACACAATGAGTTAGAACAAGTAAGAGAGAAAGCAACACGAAATTACAAGAAATTCCCAACCTTTATTATTGCACCAACAATACAAAGGAATGCCTATGGAAACTCTTTCAATTACCTGATCCCCATTTTGAGTTCCATGGCCATGCCTTATATAGGCTTACAATCAGTTACAACAATACAACTAGCAATAAAAGGAAAACATGCCAAGTGGCATGGCAGTTGACACCCCCAACTGCCTAGGGACTTAGGAACAAATCTGGAGCTAACTGCTAATAACTGCTCTTGTCTTTCAGCCTTGCTTCCTGAATTCTAGGCTTGGCTTGTCTTTGCCCCAACACAAGTTACTGTTGCCAACAGACATGCATAGTTGCTAATAACCGCCATGTTGTCTGCCTCATCAAGCCAGCCACGAATTTGGTTATCTTGGCCACCAGACCAAGTCTTGCCCATTGATTCTTTAACCCCCAAGTATGCTGCAGCCCACATTCAGGTCATATTAATGCCTTGTATCTGTGCAAATGTTACCTATACTTTGGCCAAGGGTTGTGTGCTATTGGCCCAGCACTTTGTTATTTTTTCACCTTGCTGTCTTGGCATGCCACCATCATGTTGTGGCCTTGGTTGGACATGGGCGCAAGGTCTTGCCAATGCCCACCGTGCAGCCTTCAAGTAAAAGGTGCTAACAAACCACTCCCACCAGGAGAAGCCAACGTCATCGTTGGTAAGGTCTTTAAGTACTCTTCGACTTGCTTTTCAAACTGCCATAATGTTACATCTTTTTCCCAACTTGCATTAGATTCTGGGGAACCCTTCCACTTCACTAAGTAATGGTCCTTCGATTCTTTTTGCTTTGACCTTTGGTATTGTGATCAAGAATCCATTCTACCTTCCTGTAAAACTGCTTTCTGATCACTGGAGGTGCCCTCCCCTCCGAGCTTACTTCCTTGTCAAGTTAGTTTGATCCTCATAAAAAGGTTTCAAAAAACTAATATGGAAAGTTGGGTGGATTTCAACCGATCAGGCAATACTAGCATGTATGCAACATTTCCCACACGTTTTAAGATTTCAAAGAGGCCATCGTATTTCGGAATTAAGCCACGGTGCATTGTCTTACTGTTTATCTCCTTCCAAATTTGAGAAGTAAGCTTCAGTAGCACTTTGTCTCCCACTTTGAATTCTAAGGGTCGCCTCCCTTTGTTAGCATACTTCTTCATTCTTTTGCTTGCTCTAGTCAAACTATCTTATGCTTCCTCCAGCAACTCTTGTTTAACCCTTGCAAAGCGGTATGCTGCTGGACATCTGCCACCAGAGCCTGTTTTAGCCACTTCGTAAGGAGTTAGGGGCTGTTGCCCCGTGGCCAATTCGAACGAACTCATCCCGATTGTCGATGATCTATGCAAATTGTAACAAAATTGTGCACTATCTAACAATTCGACCCAATTCTTTTGACTTGCAGTCACATAATGTCGGAGATACTCCTCAAGGAACCCATTCATCCTCTCGGTCTGGCCATCCGTCTTTACTGTGGAGAACTTTAATTCTGAACCCAACAAATTAAAGAGGACAGTCCAAAACCTTCCCGTAAACTGGGTATCCCTGTCACTAATTATGTCCTCAAGTAAGCCAAAGTATTTTATAACATACTTATAAAATAAATCAACAGCAATGTCAGAAGGACAAGCATGAAGAGCAGGAATAAATACAGCATACTAAGAAAAACGATCAACAACTACCATGATGGAACGCATCCCATTAATTTTAGGAAACCTAGAGATGAAGTCCATGGATACTGAAACCCAAGGCTTCTCAGGGACCGGCAATGGTTGCAATAACCTGGCCGCCTTCTTTCTTTTGGTCTTGTCCAATTAGCACACCATGTAAGTTTTGACATAGGCCTCCATGTTCTCTTCCATTCTTGGCCAAACATATGAACGAGACAAGAGTGCCATCATGTGTTGTTGTCCCAGATAACCAGCCCACTGCGGATCATGCGTTTCTCTAAGACGTTCCATTCTCAGTCCCCCAACACTAGGGACATATAGCCTATCTCCTTTTCCATGAAGAAGACCATCTTCAA